CTTCAACCTTCACAATTACTATCTACTGACCCCTTGGCATCACCCCATTGATCCCATAGTAATCATTAGGCTGATTCCAGGTTCAGGAACTGTATTCTGTACTTTGACCCAAGGGTCTTTGCTGTTTGGTCAGATTTAGACAGCAGCGAACGGTCTTTGCTAAAACATGAAATCTTTCTTAGAATATGTCTATCAGAATTGGAAAGAGGACTCCTTCTTCGGCTACCAGTTTCTGAACGGAGTAAACCCGATGATGATCCAGCGCTGTGTAACTCTGCCTGAGAACTTTCAGGTGACTGATGAGATGGTCTTCAAGGATGGGAAGCAGAGTCTGACAGATGAGATGAAGGTGGTTATCTGATGGTGAGTCATGTTTTTAGACTGTTAAGCCTCCTGGTAACTAACCTTCTGCTGAAATTTACAAACAGAAAGGCAACATCTTCTTGTGTGACTACAAGATGTTGGATGGAGTGAAGGCAAACATCATAGATGGGAAGCAGCAGTACCTGGCGGCTCCTCTTGTTTTGCTGCACAAAACTGATGACAAACTGATGCCGATTGCAATTCAGGTGAGGTATCCGTCCAAACTTAGTTGCTGGTGATAGATTAGATAGCCCTCGTGCTAGCAGCATAGCACTAAGTCAGGGAACTTTGCTTAACATTTTCAAGACTCCCTGATATCCTCAAAAAAGTAAAGTACAAGTCCAGCTACATTAATTTCTTAGAAGTTTCAGTGAGAGATTCTGCTGCAATATATACAAAAAGTTTAAGTCATACATCATTAGTATATAGATGAGGGAACTGCTGTAAATCTGATAACTGAAGTTCTATCTTAAGTTTGCATCAATGACAGTTTGTATGATAAAACTCATTTGTCTGGACTTAAGGTGTACATGCATTGCTACCTGTATCTGCCACAGATCAGTTTTACATTTTGTACTGGTTCATTAGCATAGATCAGTTTGGGTCATCAAGGGGACCAGAATGATTGTAGATCATTTTCTGTGCTCATCCTGCAGCTGAAACAGATTCCAGCAGAGGACAACCCCGTATTCTTCCCCACTGACTCAGAGTGGGACTGGTTGTTGGCAAAGACGTTTGTGAAAAATGCAGATTTTAACATGCATGAACTCAGTTCTCACCTGCTACGCACCCACCTACTGGCTGAGGTGTTCACAGTGGCTCTGCTGCGCCAAATACCCATGATGCATCCTCTCTACAAGGTATTGTTGATCATTAGTTGGAATGTTTTCACACAAAGGTAACTCTGGTGGTGTTGCTAATAAATGACCTTTTCCAGCTTCTCATGCCTCACACTCGCTACACGCTGATGATCAACTGCCTCGCACGGCAACTTCTCATATCTGATAATGGTATTTTCACCAAGGTAAGTAAGAAAAATCAGAGTCAGGAACTATGTCCACACCTACATCACCAAGTTACAGACACCATCTCCCCTCTAGTTTGCATCTTCTGGTGGTGAAGGTATGTTCACCATTCTGCGGAAGGCGCTCTCCTCCATGACCTACAGATCCCTCTGTTTACCAGACGACATCTCTGACCGTGGGCTGGAGGATGTGCCCAACTTCTTCTACAGAGACGATGGTCTGAAGCTGTGGGACGTCATCCACAGGTACAGACTGTTTGATTTTAATCCTGAGTTAAAAAAAAAAAGATTTATCTGGAAGTTCTGATCTAGTTGTTGAAACAAGAATTTAAATTCTAGAGTAAAATAAGTAGTTATTTTAACTTGATATTGTGAATAAAATAATGGAGAAATGTGGCTCTTTAACCAGGTGAGGACAGTTTTTTTGTCTTGCATATTGTGAAATAATTATTTGGTTTAAATTGCAGCATTAAGTTAAAACTCAATTCAAGATCAATGAACTTATGAAACAATGTTAAATCACCTTCATGAACTTTAGTTTCTGAGTGAAAACCAAAACAACTTCCTTGTGGACTTAAATTGTATTTTCAAGGCAGCAGGTGGATTTTCATTTTCAAGTTAAACCACCGTCACATGTTTTACAGTGTATTTATAAAGTCCCTCTGTGATTTATTGAAGCTTATTTTTGGAGAAAACTGCACCTATAATTCAACCTCAAAGCAGGCAGCCACTTTAAAAAATTATAAATATGTGAAGCTGCCATAACCCTTGGGTTTACTATGAATACAAAATGTTGTACCCTTTTCATTTCTTCTTAGAAGTTAGAATATAAGCAACTGTTGAAAATTTTTGCACAAAAAAAATTATAAAAAGTTGTATAAAAATTTTGAAAAGTATTTTGGAAAACGTTTCTTTCTTTTATAAAACATCAGTCTGACTTTGGGCTGATGTGCTGACTGTAAGCTGCAGCAGGAATGAATCCTGAATGTTCCTACAGCTTTGTGAAGGGAACCCTCCAGTATTACTACCAGAGCGATCAGATGGTCCAGGAAGACCAGGCTCTGCAGAAGTGGATCGGTGATATATATTCATATGGGTTCCTTTCTGAGAAAAACACAGGTGGGTAAATGTTTTCATCCTGGCTTGAAAAGTCAACTTTCTATCAATACTGAACATCACTTTAACTAATTTTCAGGTATTCCAAAGAGATTCGACACCGTAGGCGAGTTGGTGAAGTTTGTCACCATGGTGATCTTCACCTGCTCAGCACAGCACTCGGCTGTGAACGCCGGACAGGTAAGTTTCTCAAACTACTGAAGTTCTGTTGCAGAGCGTCGATCACATCAATGTTCAGGTCTCTGCACACTTTGGGGCTCCAGCTAGAAGCTGAGAGGCAGTCCTATTTTAAAAACAAAGATCAGCGTGTGAAGCAAAGAGATGTCTCTGTCTTGCAGGGGAAGTTTACGTTAGCTTGTTCAGGAAGTTTCTGACTGATCATCGAAGTGGAGATTCACAGGGACGGTTTGGGATTCCTCTTGGTAGCTGTTACCATAGTAACCTGGTCTCAGATATGCATTATGTTAACCGTTAGCATCTGTTTTCGTTTCTTAAGCAGTGAAAGCTGCCATGTTGAGCTCAGCTAGCAGCAGCAGTGGACCTATCATTTCGAGCATTTTAGTTTATGATGGAGTTTAGAACAACAGGGGATTGGCAGTACAACTTAGATTTGTCATTGTTGCAATATTACTGGACGTAAAATGCGTTTAGTGAAGAACTAAGTGTTTGCTCATTATTTCATTAGCTGCATCCAGGCTCTCTATAACCGTTTTTTTTATGTGGTGACTGGCAGCAGATAATTAAGTGGTTTCAGTACCAGAACAGTATACTTCAGCCAGTAGCAACATTTTTATGAAACCTTGTTATTACGTAGTGAAAGCTTCTTCAATCATAACAGAGGCTCATATGTCTCTGCTGAACATTTTTGGTTCAGATTTTGTTGCACAAACAACGGTGACAGCTGAGAAGGCTATTCGTAACCTAGCAACCGAAATCAACAGAAGGCAAGAAAGTGACAAAAGACAAAACTAGATCCTGTTAAGTGCTTTTCAAAATAAAAGACTTCCTCTCTCCAAAATCACTTTGAATGTAAATATGTTTCACTTCACCTTTTTGTAATTATGTATCATCATGTTAAATTCAGTGAATAGTAATAATAATCATGTAAATTTAGCTTAGCTTATAATTGTAAATAAGTCACTAATCATGTACTTAACACTAAGTGAACGTAAATAAGTCACAACACTTGTTGCTTGGATGGGTACATTTAATCATCTGGCCATTGAATCTAACCCACATCAAGACTTTTCAGACTTGATGAGTCTGAAAAGTCAAGACTCATCAAGTCAGACAGAGGATCTTGCAGCTGGAACTGATTGGTGTCTGTTGGGTTTGGTTCCTGCAGTATGACTTCATTGGCTGGATGCCCAACTGCCCAGCGACCCTGGAACGGCCACCGCCTTCCAAAAAGGGAGAAGCTACAGAGAAAACTCTACTGGACACACTGCCTTCTTCGGATATTACCGTGCAGTCGATGGCCGCAGTTTGGCTGCTCAGCAAGGAGTCCACTGACTCTGTAAGTAGCCCTGGTTCTGTTAACATGTCTCCTAACTAAGATCTGATCTCCACCGGGTGGTTCTGGTCACAATCACTGTGTGATCCCGGCAGGTGGCAATAACTTTGACATTAACCCCATCAGATTCTGAGAGTGACTATGGTCCGGCCCCAATGCTCATACTTCCACCCTTGTTCCGCCCTTGAGCCCTTCAAATGCACGTTTTTGTTGAAGGGTTTGAGTGCGTGGTCTTTAGCCCCACCCCATTTGCGCCCTTGGTACACACTTTGGCTAAGACGCACCCAGGTGGACTTTGGCAGAAATATTACCCTCCATGTGAGATTTTTAATTAAAAGGTGGAAATACAGCAGTGGGCTTTTCCTTTTTGATAATTGTGACCAGAACCTCTGCTCCATTCAGTCATCATGGAGCAGTCTATGAAAGTCTTTCTGATGATGTGCATTAATTCAACACCCTCAACATAATCATCAAATATCACAGATGTATTTTTATTCTGATCTGTATGCAAACAGTCACTGAAACCACGATGGAAACCAGATTAAACGTTCCTCTGTCGTCAACAGGAGTTTCTTGGTAACTACCCAGAGCAGCGGTTTATTGAAGATGTTCCCCTGAAAAACATAAAGGTCTTCAAAGAGCAACTTAATGAGCTGAGTCTACAAATCAAAGCCAGAAACAAAGCACTTGAGCTGGCTTACACATACCTGGACCCGGAGGTGGTGGAGAACAGCGTGAGCGTTTAGGGTTGGATCCTTCATCGGTTCCGGTTCCTCCTGAACAAGACAGCATGGAATAAGTTAGGGTGATTCTGGGTTGGTGGAGGGAAACTACTGCTTGTTATCTTAGAAAACTTAAATGATTGTAATAAAAACCTTATGTTTCTGTAAGAACGCAGAACCATCAGGAATTAATTGTGACCTTTGAAGCTGTTTGCAATGAAATAGCAAGCAGAACCATATATTCTGATTTTTTTTAGATGGATTTTAGAGGTGTAGTATGGTCTTTCATGTTTGGGAGCTTTTCAACCACAGCTTGATTTATGGCTAGAGATATTATTCTGATGTTCTTTGTTCCAGGGAAATAACATGTTGAACCTGATTACATAATAAACTGATTTTAAAATGGCTTCATCAGTGTCTGTCTGGACCTTATTGGGTTTGAAGTTATACAACTTTGGGCATTCATTAAATTCAAGGAAGATATTGGTCAGCTGATTCTTTGCTGGCCAATTTATTAGCAAAACTAAATTAAGTTTTTATTAATATACTTAACATTCATATTTGCCAAGTTAAGCTAAACTATGAGGTTACAGAATAAGAACAGATTGGGAACATCCTAAAATATAGGTTTGATTTGATGTTCCAGTCTGTAGTGTTTAAATGTGTAGGAAGAATCTGAGGAAAAAAGTACCATACTGAGGGCAGAACTGAACCCCAGGAACATAATTTCAGATTGAGGAGTCTGAAAAGACCATATTTTAGCTTAGCAAATATATTTTCTGAATATGTTGCAGCCTCTAAAATGCTAATACATCGACAAGAATCACCCACAATAGGTTTTAGGCGAGCACAGCTAATGAAAGAAATGAATAAGAGGTCTTTGCTCAGTAGGTGTGTGTGTTTTGGCTCTTAAAAAAGCCGTTGTGTTTGCATGAGCTGCTGCGGCCTCTACGCCCTCTCTCCGCGGATGCGGCGGGCCAGCTGGATGTCTTTGGGCATGATGGTGACCCTCTTGGCGTGGATGGCGCACAAGTTGGTGTCCTCAAAGAGCCCCACCAGGTAGGCCTCGCTGGCCTCCTGCAGAGCCATGACCGCCGAGCTCTGGAAACGCAGGTCGGTCTTAAAGTCCTGGGCGATCTCCCGGACCAGCCGCTGGAAGGGCAGCTTGCGGATCAGCAGTTCGGTGGATTTCTGGTAGCGGCGGATCTCCCGGAGAGCCACGGTACCGGGCCTGTAGCGGTGGGGTTTCTTGACGCCGCCGGTGGCCGGAGCACTCTTGCGGGCGGCCTTGGTGGCCAGCTGCTTCCTGGGGGCTTTGCCTCCGGTGGATTTCCTGGCGGTCTGCTTGGTTCTTGCCATCCTTTAAATTTTCTCTAAACTCAGAGAAAATATGGAGCAGTTCTGAGCCTCGCTGCTTTTAAAATGGAGTAGCAACTGGGAGGCGGAGACGCTTTTTGAGTTTTCAGCTCCTGATTGGTGGGCAGATGCAACTCCGCCTACAGAACCGGCCTTCCGGGCTTTTTGGTGGCTGCTTATTGGAGGAAGCTCCTGTGGAAAAAAGTCCGTGAACCTCCCATCAATATTTTAGGGCTATGGTCCATACCCCGCTGTGCAGGAAGTTCTTCTGGTTGGTCTGATAGGAGGAATGACTAAAAGTCACACAGAAAAAAAATTAATAATTAGCAATAATTTAATTATGTAATTTATTTGAGAACCAAATAGCATCCGAAATAAATATTTGAAAAATTAATATCTACAATATATAATTGTATTTAAAGTGCTATGTGAGCAAATATAAAGTATTAAAAGTTACTCAACTCAATGCATAAATGGAAAACAAGTAATCAAGTCTTTATCCCGATCATACTCAAGACCTGTTCCTATAAACATTTTTATTTGAAGAAAATATATACTCTATGTTGATTATAAGTGACGGAATGAGCTCTTATGCGTTGCAGTGTTGGCTCTTAAAAGAGCCTTTGTGTAGAGGATGTCTGTGAGGGATGGAGTTCACTTCTTGGCTGCTGCCTTCTTGACTTTGGGCTTAGCGGTCTTCTTCGCTGGAGCTTTCTTGGCTGCTGCCTTCGCAGGGCTCTTAGTGGCCTTCTTGACCGCCTTCTTAGGGCTCTTCGCTGCCTTCTTGATGGCTGCTGGCTTCTTGGCCTTCTTAGGAGACTTCTTGGCAGCAGCAGCAGCAGGCTTCTTGGCTGCTACTTTCTTGGGCTTCTTGGCCGCCGCCGCTGCGGGTTTCTTCGCCGCCGCGGGCTTCTTAGCTTTAGCAGCGGGCTTCTTCGCCTTGGTCTCGGCCTTGCTGCCCATCTTGAAGGAGCCGGAGGCCCCGGTTCCCTTGGTGTGGACCAGGGTTCCCTTGGTGAGCAGGCTCTTAATGGCGGTCCTGACTCGGGCTTTGTTTTTGTCCACATCGTATCCTCCGGCGGCCAGAGCCTTCTTGAGGGCGGCCGCCGACACGCCGCCTCGCTCCTTGGAAGCGGCCACGGTTTTCACGATCAGCTCGCCGACGCTGGGGCCGCTCTTCTTGGGCTTGGAGGCCTTCTTCTTGGCCGCTTTGGCCGGAGCAGCGACGGGCGGTGGAGCTGGAGCGACTTCTGCCATCTTCTGCTGGCGACTCAACAACAGTCAGAGTGGAAATGAGAAACCCGGAGCAGCGCGCGGCACTTAAACACACCATGAGAACCGTGGAGACTCAACCGTGTCCGGGGCTCCTCGCAGCAACATGGACGGCTTCTCTTTGTGTTTTCTCGGCGACCTAAAACAGCTGAAATCTCTGTGTTGGATCAGCGCTGCGGGCCGACAGTGTAGCGGATCCGTAGCGGACTAGTTTCTCTTCGTGTTCAGCTTCTGGAAATCTCTGAAGCTTTCTGCTCTTTGTTACCGGAGCCTGAAAACTGCACCGATTCACGGCAGAACACGCTGATAATCGCTGTGTTTTCCGTCCTTTCTCCTCGTCAGATCCTATCATCCTTATCAAATACTGTCTGATCGCTTCCTAACACGTTAGTGTAAAGCCTGAGAATAAAAACAACCAGCCGCGGAGACCCTTTTCGTCCTAAAATGAAGATATTGTAGCATCAGCAAACACACTGATGATGGCGTCTCATGTTGTTGCCAGACTTCCTAGCAGCGCTAATCAAAGTCAGATTTTCTGCTCTCAACTCCTGAAATTAATAAAAAGTCACTTCTAAGATTATAACTGCGCTCGAACTGAATGTTGGTGTCTGAATAAAGTATTTTCTACACTTTCTCAGTCTGCGCTGGGCTTTACAAAGTTAGTTTGAAAGACTGTTATGCGTTTCTGGCTTCCTTTGTGTGCCTGAATAAAATGTGACTTAAACATATGCCTTCAATTGTTTTGCTTCTGAATTCTCCATTTTAATCATTTTTAAAACTAAGCTACTTATTGCCACATTTTCTATTATATCCTGAGAAAAAAAACGAGTGTTTAAATATTGACAGTTTAATCATGGCAACTATCAACGCTCTCACACATAATTTAAACTAGATGACCTATTTTTAGGGACAGATCTAAAGCATGAAGGATATCAAGTCCTGAGGACCAGGGATTGAACTATGGAAAAGAAAATCTCCAATGATAATAACTTCAAGTAAAATTGATAGCAAATAAACATTTTATTGCAAAGTAAAGTTTTTTTTTCCCTCAAAGCAACTTATAAATCTTAAACATACAATTGAACAGTCAATTTCCATTACATTTGTTTTTCATTGAGTTTTGAAGTCATACAGCACCTTGATTATATTCCATAATTCCTTCTGAGAGGAATAAAAGCACATATTCCCACCACTGCAAATTTTATTAAAGAATCACCAACAAATCCCAAAGCATGTCACAGAAAAAGCTTACTTTAGTAATTACATGATTAAAGGAAAATCTGGTCATGATCAGAAGTGGAGTTTTATTTGCCGATTCAGGGAGCTTGTCGTTTGCGTACCATCCGGATCCGGCAGAAGCATCCAAAGCGAACTTTGTAGTTCCTGCAGGTTCCAGTGTTCTGGTCGCTATTGCGGCAAACAAACCCCTTGGTGGGACTGTAGCTGAAAGTGAACAGATGATGCCGAGTTAGCACAAGTTATTGCAAAAAGCAGTTTAGCCAATAAAATCCTGTGATAGTAAACTTATTCATGCTTTGTCCCCATTGAAGTTCAGCGAAATATTTCCCTAAAATTTCAAATTTGTGCCAAAAATGAGTGTAATCTTGGCTTTCATAGATAGGAAGGTAAAAGGGAATGAGTTGTGTGGTCTTTTTAATCTGACTTGTTTTAGGACACAATTTTTCAAAATAAGAGCCACCAGAGGGCGGTAGAGAGGAAAAGAAAGTTGGAGAAAAGACGAAGAAAAGAAATACAAATATGAAAACGTTAGTTTTTGATAATGCATTTTTTAAATCAAAATATAATCTGATTTTCAATCATAATTTATAAAAGTTAAAATAATTAAGATTTTAAAAAAATCTTCCTACTAAGTTTCATATCTCTTGAAGTGCTATTTCTATTATAACTGCACAAAACCTTTCTATTATAATTTTTAACTGTGTATTATTAAAAATTGTACATTTATATATTTTAAACTCCTACATAGCTTTATGCTGCCGTTACAAATGAATTACGCCACTGTCGGACGGTAAGAAATATTTAGATTTTATTCTAAAGTAACTTATTGAAATGTTATTTTTTCAAAGTAAGAGCAAAACAGAAAAATTTCAGTCAAGAAAAAAGACTGAAGGAACGTCCAGCAGTCCAGCTGTGGAGAACATTGCTGCAAAAATCCCCAAAGAACTAAAATCAGAATATATGGGGCAACATTCATGCTAAATGAATGCATTAAATTATTAAATGGTAAATAAAAAACATTTTACACATTTTGTAGCCTGCCAGCAGGAACATGGCATGGAAAGGTTTGGAAAGTCCTGCTGTAGGACGACTTACGAGTAGAAGCTCTCTCCTGTTCTGATGGCTGGGATCTCGCCGTCGAAAGTAGCGGCCTCGATGTACACCGGTTCAGCACAAAGGTCTCCTCCAGGGTTTTCTGAGATCAGGGCGCTCAGGTGCTCCCAGTCCCCAGATCCACTGGGATCGTCTCGGTTGTACCACTTGGTCCAGCACACTGCAGGAGAACGGAGTTAAACGGCTGCACTGCCAAGGTAGAAATTCAAATAATTTAATCAATTCTTAATCGGGTGCTGTAATATTTTTTGTTGAAATTTGCACCATTTTCACAGGAATCAGGTGCGCAGCTGAGGCGAACTTTATAATCAGAGCACTCCCAAGTCCGGTTGATCTTGGTTTCTGCAGACAAAGCCGTTTTCCAGATCATTTCTGAAAAGGGAAAGAAAATGCTCAAACATGAATTAGTGCTTTTACACAATTTTAAAAACGTATGTCATTTTAAAGCATTTGTGTTTCCATTGAAATATAGTGAGACATTTTCTGCAGATGGAGAAAACACAGAACTATGTTGAACTAACTAAACTACCAAATGTATTCCAGGAAGTCACAAAAATAAACTGAAACACGTAGTACTACAGGACTCAACAAACATTCTGCTAAAATTTGTCAACATTTTGAGTAATACATTCTCCTAATCCCACCATGTAACCAAAAGTTTGTTTTGACATCTAGAAAAAGGATTAAATTAGTTTGAATGATTTCTTGTACATTTTATAATCGTTTTAGTTTCCCCAGGTTTGTACTTCCTGTTTGTATGTATTCATCCATCATGTACTTGTATGGAGTGAAAATGATCCCAAAATATCTGTGCGTGCAATACTGGATTTGTAAACCTTAAAAATAAAACAAACCTTCTCCTGTGCCCTTAAATGTTGAAAAAGTACACACACACACAAAACTGCATTTACGCACAGATCGAGTTACAAGTGCACGAGTATTTGAGACTCATTTCAAGCTTTGGGGAAGCTCCCAGATTTTATGTGGAGATGATACGTTTACATGCTAGTAAAAAGTGGGCCATTTAAGTTTTGCTCCGTCTTGCTCCCGTGTTTGCCTGGCTATTTCTCCGGCCAGCGAACCATTCCGCCACCCAGTGGTCCTTTTTCAGACCACTTAGCCTCCCGTACCACTCAAAAATGCACAATATGCCTATAAATAATTTTAGGATATTATAAGTGCTGAGATATACCGTTTCCCACCGAACTAACGTGTTTGCCACTTCGGCACAAGCACAGTGAGAAACGTCAGAGGATAAAAACACTAGACTCAGACCAAAACTCAGATGGCCCAGCTTTTACTAACATGTACACGCATCATCCACACACAAATCTGGGAGTAAAATCATCGTTTGCTTTTAGCAATTCAATTTACCGATAGTCTTTTAGCCTTTTAGCTAATTCGATGCATTTTCAGAATTAGCTAGTTTTGGCTAACTCATCGTTCCTGCCAAATAAATGAATAAATTTCAGGTTTTGTGATTAACTTTGTAACCATGCTTACAGATAAATATTTTCCCCGGTCTGACTCGCATCGAGCCCAGAGAGAGTAACAGCCTCGATGTCTACTGGGTCGCGGCAGATCTTCCCCGGATTCTCCCTGCGAAGATCCACGATGGTCTCCCAGTCTCCAGTTCCAGAAGGATCATCTCTATCAAACCACTGCGTCCAGGCCTCTGGAGCAGAAATACTCAGATTAAGGCTCTAAACTATTTACATGCTCTAGTTAAAAATGATTAGAATAAAAACTTGATACGGTGTGATTAACAGCACTGGTACTCACGGACGTGGGAAGGAACTTCACAGGGCGGTCCTGAGGGGAAAAAAAAAAAAAATCTCAACTAAAAAGTGAAACATGAACAGACTTTACCTGTGGATAAAACGTCGAAACCTTATAAACGCTCCAACAAGCGCAATCTAATGCGTTTTTTCCCTTCACCCTTGGCGACTTTGTGCCAAGTTTTTGGCCTGACCCTTGAGTTTAAGTTGAACATAAGCAGCAACAGCAAGCTATGAAAGCAGGATGTTACGCAAGTTTAATTAAAACTGAAGTGCAAAATCATAATTTTCATTTTAACACTAGACATCCAGATTTATCAGCTGCATCACTGCAAAAACTCAATGTTTACCGCTTACCCTTCAAAATATAGAAAGTTTAAGTTCAGTTTTATTTTCAGTACATCAACTTTTATAAAATATCGACTTTATCGCAAGCGCAGTCTTCAACATAACAGATTAAAGTGTCAGGATCAGCGTTCTTCAGACACAGTTGGTGGCTCTTAAAAGAGCCTTTGGGTTGAGTAACTTCCGCAGCGGACAGTTTACTTGGAGCTGGTGTACTTTGTGACCGCCTTAGTGCCCTCAGACACGGCGTGCTTGGCCAGCTCGCCGGGCAGCAGGAGCCGCACAGCGGTCTGGATCTCCCTGGAGGTGATGGTGGAGCGCTTGTTGTACTGAGCCAGACGAGAGGCCTCGGAGGCGATGCGCTCGAAGATGTCGTTGACGAACGAGTTCATGATGCTCATGGCCTTGGAGGAGATCCCGGTGTCAGGATGGACCTGCTTCAGCACCTTGTACACGTAGATGGCGTAGCTCTCCTTCCTGGTCCTTCGCCTCTTCTTGCCTCCCTTGCCGGCCGTCTTGGTCACGGCTTTCTTGGAGCCCTTCTTGGGCGCAGACTTCGCGGGTTCAGGCATCTTCTCCCAAAATGACAAGTAAAGCGGTATACTCGGGAGACTGCTCTTATACACAATACATGTAAATTTAGCTGTGTCGTCCCTTTACTGTGATTGGCTGAGCCGTTCAGCGGGCTTCCAATGAGAGGCAGCGCATCAGTGGTTTGAAAATCCCCGCGCGCGCAAATTCAGTGTTCACAGAACATGTTAAAACTCGGATTAGGAGGTGAAACTGAATTATTGCAACATATGTACTGATGAAGCTGAAAAATCACAACACTGTTTCCTTTAAGACAAGCTAAACACAGGATTTCATAGTAAGACTGTAAATTACTTTATTAGTATTTTTTTGTTTCCTCATTTAAACAATAGTTAATTTTTAACCTTTTGACCGATGCTTTTAATTTGGAAGGGTTTTTAAAGGGACAAGGTTGCTAAGTGATCTACACAAACTTCTGACAATAACTGACAATTAACTGTTTTGGACATAGTGCAGAGAGTAAGAGAGCGTACGAGTCACAGTTAAAGGGAGGTAACTACAGAATAGTCCAACTAAGGTCTAAACAATTAATTAGTTAGCGCTTGGTTGATGAGGGAACAAGATGAGTGTTTTGACAAGAGCATTGTATTTATTGAGCGTAATGTTTATGTTTCGACATGAAATAGTGTTAATATTTGATAAACTGTCGAACAGTTGAAACAGTTGGAATACGTTTTAGTTCATTTGTAATATAGAAATGTTATAGTTAATTAAATACATGTATTGTAAATTTAATGTTATTACATAAAGTCAGGTTTATAGGTGAAGGGAAAAGGTTAAAACCACTAAGAGTTATTAATGGTATTTTATTTGTATGTTTGTAGATGTTTGTAAAGAAATGTGAACCATCAGTTTGAGAGACCATCTTTTCAACCAGGACTCTACAAAGACAAACGAAAAACTTCGTTAAAATTGAGATTCTGCTTCTAAATTCTAGTTGCTGGAGAACATATTTACTATTTGCTAGTCATATTCTGAATTTTTGTTAAAAAAAAGTTTCACTTATTGTAATGAGTGTTGAACTCTGCAGCTACACAGCACACATATGGAAAAAAACTGAAGTGTTTCAGAATCACTAATACTGTTTTACATCAAACATTTAAAGGAAGAAGTGTAAACAAATGAAAATATTGTAAGGACAGATATATATATAAGAAATATAATGTGATCATTGTAGTGTTGTGTTCTGTGTTTTCTGTGTAGTTATTTTCAAAGTTTTCTGTGTTTAGTCCTGTCCCTGTCCTGTCTTCCCTGTCGATTGCTTCCCAGGTGTGTCTCATTCCTTGATTCACTACGTGAAATACTACTCTTTTTTTTTTATCCTTACCGGAGGGCTTGCTGGACAAGGTGTTTATCTTTTCCTTGAGTTTATTGTTAATAATGGTCAACTGTTCAGTCCTGTAATCTCAGTTATTTTTCTCCAGCTGCATTTTGTGGCTTCTCCAGATGCTTTGGTCCTGAGTCTCTGTTGGAACACGAAGGAAAACAAAATAAGTACTCTTACAGCATGTCCCATCACACAGTAAATATACAAATTTGGATATTTTTTTCCTTTATTTAAAAATAATTACTTTGGACTGCGAGGTAGATGTTTCCAGCCAGTAGGAGCAAACACACCACACCCATAAAAACACAGGCCCATTTGAAAGAACTCCTCTTCACAGACGTTTTGCTGACAAAAGACACTTAAACAAGGAATAAATACCTTAAAACATGTATTTAAAATAAACTATCAAGACACAAACCATTCAGAAATATTTTGTTGCTACAGTACAGCAGCTTCTACACAGAATCAGCAGCGCTCTTACTTTTGGACTGAGCCTGTGAAAGTCCTGAAGGGTTTGGCG